CCGCGCGCCGGCGGAGGCGGGGAAATGGTGTCGTCCGTCCCCCGGGAGGCCTGCCCGGGCTTTCCGTGGGTACCGCCGCGGGGTCAGGTTTCTGTGGGACACCGTGCAGCTGGAAGGGCTGAGCAGCCCGCGGGTGAGACCGAGGAGCGTGACCCACCCACCGGCCGCGGGCTGGGAGGCGGCTGCAGGGTTAACACCTGCAGCTGGTGATGCTTTTGCACTCTTTAGGAGAACGTGTCTCATTGCAGGGCGTAGCGTAGCTGCAGAACTGTTTCTTGCATTTCCCCCCCTGCTCTGAAGCAGCTTTTGTCAGTAACCATGTGCCCTCTGCTCCTTCGCGTTTCCCCCTGCACTACAGGTACTAAAGATGGGCCGTCGAGCACGCCAGGACTTCTTTACAGATGAAAATCTCGGCAGGAAGAATTCCCCGTCTGCTTCTCTGGGAGAGGTGGGTGTCCTGTCAGGAGAACCTGTCTGTAATCCTGCTGGTGTCTCCAGTGGAGGATTCTTCGTTTCTTCTGAGATTCTTTCCCGCATGGTGTGCTCTGTCCATTGAAGTTCGTCCTTAGAGTTGGGACCCATGTGACTACCCTGTCCCTTTCCTGGTGTTGCCCTCTGCATGATGTGTAGTTTCCACACAGGGTTATATCTGGGGCTACGGTTTCTCACTTGTGAGGTATGGAGAGTAGCATCAAACAGGACTTGGGGCCTCTCCCTCCTGTACATGCATATCTTCCATGGGAATTAAAATATAAGCAGGCACATAGTTTTGTGACCAGTTTCGCCACCATCTATGGTAGCAAGACAGAATACAGGTAAGCAGATGCCTTACTTTTGCACTTTGCTTTTGCTAGAGCCAGAGTACAGTATCTGAGATGTCACTATCAAGTTTGTATAGTGACACTCTTTTTCCTTTCCTCCATGCACAGGCTACAAAGGTCATGGTATGAGCCAGCTTTGCAGTATCTGAGACTTTGTCTTGTGGATAATAATATGTAAACTCGGTTCCCACTTGGCTTTGGAGAAAAACTTTTGTTCAGACTCTGTTCTGTCAGTACATCTTCAAAAAGTAGAAGATGGTCTGGAACCCCTCTTTCACAGGAGAGCGAGGCAACATCCTCTAATACCCAGAAAGATGAGATCTGAACCCTTTTGATTCACTTTCTTGCTTAGTGCTGCAGAATGCTCAAATTCTATCTGGAAGTTTGCTCTCTGATGTTAGCATGGCTTCTCCACAGGCACCTCCTGCTGGAAGGAGCACCTGTCAAGAAATGACATACAGATTTTGCTCCCTGACACCTTCAGATGGACAAAAGGGTCATCAGACTTCCACCTCATTGACACTGATATTTGTTCAAATGAGATGATACTTAACTTTTTGCAATGCCAGTCATGGTCTCCAGCATACCATATTCTTGGCTTCTTTAAACTGCAAACCCACTTTGCCCTGCTGGCCACCCTGGCACCAACTGTTCTTCAAGCTACTGTGCTCAGAGCCCTGGGACCTTCCGTCTTGGGAGTGGCTACTCCCTGGTCCTCTGTGCCGTGACAAAACTCTCCTGTTGCACTGAGTGGTTGTGTCCCAGCCATCTGCGCCAAAATGGTTTTGTGGAGGGATATTTCCTTGGAGTCCCTGCAATGCTGTTGAAAATACACTGTTATGGCTTAGCTTACAATAACACCTCATAGAACAGGCTTTTTGTCTGGAGAAAGTATGCTATCTTCTCTTGATAGGCATAGCGGGGAATCATCTCCCACCTACGTGTTCTCCCCTCCCTGGGTATACTATAGGAGTTCAGGAGGGATTCCATGAGGGAGTTTGCGGAAGGTGTAATTTAAGAAATCAAAATAACTGTGGGCCTCATAGGTAAAGAAAGTCTTAAAGAAACCAGCTGGTGGTTTAAGTGGGTGTAATCGTTGGTTAGCCTCCAGATTAGGGTGTCTTACTGTCAGATTGTTCTCTTACTGGAACTGGCCGTCCTAGTTCATGGACTGATTCCCTGGTTAGAAAGAGACCAGGGTGTGATGTAGGGGTACAGCTGACTGACTGTAACTTACTGCAGTTGTACTTGGTGTGTCTCGCATCATAGCCATTATAATAGCTGGGAAGAGATCATAAAGTCCTTGGGCACCCCTGGACAGGACTAAGAAATAGTTACAATCTTCTGTTTGAAAGCAGTGAGCTTTTCAGCAGCAGAAGGGTGAGGCCTTCCACGCCTTACAAGATTCAAGTATGTTATTACTGGATCTTAACCACCAGGAAGAACCGTTTGTGTCAATAGCCTCCCTTCAGACAGTTCTTTGTTGCTAAATGTTGCTGTTAACTGAAAACCTTGGAGCTACTGGAGAAGAGACAAAATCCACTATAAATAATCCTCAGCCTTTTCCTTTGCTCCAGAATTGGAGGCTTCTCATACACGATCATATCTGATACCAAAGTGAGCATTTAATAGAACTAATATTGTTTTTTCCTTCACCCTAGATTGGCAATCACCTTTTACTTTTCTGGAAGCTTGGCCTTGGCTTGCCTCCAAGTGGTGGGATCAGCTGTTACAATGGATGTCTCATTCAGCCATCTGGTCATCTTGAAACCTTTTCAAGGAACCTTCCCAAAAGAAACGCAAAATAAAAACCCCTACTTTTTTCTGGAACTGGCAGTAGTGGAGAAGGCCCCATGTAATTAATTTCAGCGTAGGAGGTTTTATTCTTATTACTGATTTTGAAGACAGAGGGGTTTGTCTTAAACCTTTGCCATATTCACACCTTCATGTGCAGTTTCACATTCAGGATGGTGATTCTGCCCTCAGTAGTTCCTCAGAGTTTTCAAACTGTTTTAAGATTCACCTTGACTTTTTTTTTTTTTAATTCCTTGTCAATCCACCAGTTTCCACCCAGCTCAAATTTCTGGTATGAACGTACCATTTGTGCTATTGTTCTGGTCTTTTCATGACACTGAGAACCATCCGGGAAGTGTTTTCCAGTCAGAGCAGCTTGCTTGAAGGAAGCGAAAAGTACCTGTCTCTCCATGTTTCAACATTTGGGCTTATTACAAGGAAATTCACTTTGAGGGGTGAACAACTCATTTAACATAATTAAAAAGATCTTTGTTTTGAAGTCAATAGGCAAATCATCTGTCTTGGAGCATAGATCTTACCAGATTACTGCTGATCTCTCCTTGACCTGGACTCTGTCTTCTGAAAGAGACTCCAAACAATGGTACGTCTTCTCAACTGTGTGTCTTCTTTCACAAATGTGTTGTTAAAACCTCCTTCCCTAGGGCACAACTGCAATCTCTTGTGCCTTGTAGCCTAATATACTTCCGCCAAGCTCTATGAAAGCAGTATGATATCTTAGTGTCTTTTCAGTGCCTGTTGTGTGTATATATCTCCCACAATAAGTTCCTTCACTATAGCGGTATATCTGTAATTCCTCTGCCCAAATCTCTGATACTTCCCATTCCTGTGTGGAAGTATCTGCATTACCTTCAAATTTAGACCTCTGTCTCATCAAGGGGCTCACTAAGGGTCACAAAGCTCACAGTCTGTCATCTGACATGCAGAGCGTTCCTGCCTTTTCAGAAGTACAAGTACTAACAAACAATACTGCAGCTATGTATTATTTCATGAGGCAAGAAGGAACATGATTATTTGCTGTAATTGGTGCAGTCAGCATCCTCCTGCAGCAATGGCTGTGCGTGTTCCTGGCCTTTAGAGCTCCTTGGCAGATCGGCAGGCACTTCTTGGGCACCCAGGGGAATATGCCGTACATGGGAATTCCTAGAGATAAATCTGCTTGCTGCGTGCCAGAACTCCGCATTTCAAACATTCATTTTCGGAGGGGTAATGTATCCATTTTTCCCTTGGGAGGCCTTTCCCATCCCCTGGCTTGATGTGTTACTTTTTACTCATCTTGATGCTATCAACTTTCTGACAAAATGGGACAAACTCAAGCTGGTCGTGTTATGTGTATAACGGGAGGGGCAGATCATATAATGAGATCTGTTGAAGATCTTTGCTCTCCCATCATACCAGGACTTCTGGACACTTTTGTAGAATAAAAGTCAAACCTTTTTCCTGGCTCTAACATCACTGTATCCAACAGCCTGAATGCTGGCTTGATGACATCCACCAAGAGAAGCTGTTTGGCCAGGTTTGGGGCTCTTGAGGAGATTGATTTGGAAAGCTGAGTGGAAAAGCCTTTTTTAAAAATATATCAGCAAATTTTCCCTTTTCTGTTTCTCCTCTCAGCAAGAGTGAACTATTTGCTGTTCCGTAAGAAATCAGTATGCAAAAATATTGTAATGTTATCCTGCTTCCACAGTCTGTTTTCTCTTCATCCTACAGTGACAGGATTCCGTTGGGACCTTGTTGAAGAGGTTTCTACCTCTTACAATCTCAATATGATGTTGTTGGTGTCTCTCTGGCAGCACTTTCTAGATCCTTTGAGTGGAGACTGCTTTAATAGGCAATATGTCAGCCTAAAGGATGAGGGTTTTCCAGGCTATGTTGAGAATATCTCCACACAGGTAGGACAGGATCACTTTCACTTTATATCAGAGTTTGCCCCCAGATCATCTAAGTTCTGGTTCTCTTCCCCATGTTTCCCCAAAGCCCGGGGAAAGGCTCTGTGCTTTCACTTCTGAAGGTATGTTCTTCTCTTGTTGCCCTACCTGATATTTGTAAGCTTGCCTATGTAGTTGTGGTCCTTGGGTGATAGTTAAAAAGTGAGCATTTCTGCGCTGTAAAAAATACCTTATTCGGGATAGATTCATGTAGACAGACAAAAGCTTGGGCCACCTCCACTGCATATTGGAGGGATGTTCCCACAGGTGAATTTTGCAAAGCAGCTATTTGGACTTCCACCACCCAGCTTACAAACACTCCTGGCAGTGATTCTTTAGGCTGACATCCAGGCATCGTTTAAATAGGACTTGGTTATCTAACCCAAGTGAATAAACAACTGCAAATCAGTTGCTGAGGGTGAAATCCACGTGGAAGATTGCTCAAATAAGTGGTTATTTAAACGCTTTTCCAACATGTGTTGTCCAGCTGGATTTCCTTCTGTACTACTGCGAGTCCTGTACCACTTGGGCTCCATACATCCATAGAAGCTTGGGTCACGTTGGGCCCTGCAGAAGCCTTTCTGCTCTCGGGTGTGGGAACAAGTGGGTCCCTGGCTGACAGATACACACTTCCAACAGATCGTACCAGTTGGGCAAATCTGATTTCATTTACGCTGCTCACTGATCTGGACGCTTCTGTACCACAGCTGCCCTAACCTGCATGTAGCCTCCCTCTGCTCCTGTCATGGTAAGACCATAAGACGAGATGACAGCACAGACACTAAGTGGACTCAGATACCAAACCACTTTAATCAGAGATATATGCCATTTATGAATCACATGGCTTCCCTGTTCCACAGGAGAGATGATGCAGTCCAGGAGAAAAG